TCAAGAGTCACATGCTCTACCAACTGAGCCAGCCAGGCAACCCTAGGATCAACTAATATACAACAGGAGAGCCACAAATACTCAATGCGGAAAGCACAGTCTTTTCAGTGAATGGTGTTAGAAAAACTGGACAAGAAGCAGACAAATGACTAACCCCATTTCTTACACCACTCAAAATGGATTAAAGACGGGCGCCTGGGTGGCTCAGTTGGTTAAGCGACTGCCTTCGGCTCAGGTCATGATCCTGGAGTCCCGGGATCGAGTCCCACATAGGGCTCCCTGCTCAGCAGGGAGTCTGCTTCTCCCTCTGACCCTCCCCCCTCTCATGTGCTCTCTCTCTCTTTCTTGCTCTCTCAAATAAGTAAATAAAATCTAAAAAAAAAAAATGGATTAAAGACTACGTTGTAAGATCTGATATTGTAAAATCCTATGGTGATAATCATATTGCAATATACAAATATCAAATCAACACATTGCAAACCTTAAACCTAAAATGTTATATGTCAATTGCATCTCAATGAAAGGAAGGAAAAGAAAATTCTCCCTTATCTACTGATTACCTATTAGGAAATATTCCATCCTCCCTCTCTTTTTTAGTTGTTGTAAGAATATGACAAACCAATAAGGACCAAACCATGCATGCTCACAACATACCCCCTTTCTCCTTCCTACCCTTTTCTTCTCTTCCTCTTCTACTTTTACTCTTGTTCCTTGAGTAGCCATCCACAGCTATTCAAGACCAACCAATCTCAGGATACAAAATCAATATACAGAAATCATTTGCATTTCTATATACTAACAATGAAGCAGCAGAAAGAGAAATTAAGGAAACAATCCCATTTACAATTGCACCAAAAATAATAAAATACTTGGGAATAAACTTAACCAAGGAGGTGAAAGACCTGTATTCTAAAAACTACAAAACATGATGAAAGAAATTGAAGATGACACAAACACATGGAAACGTGTTCCATGCTCACAGATTGGGAGAACAAATATTTTTAAAATGTCCATACTACCCAAAGCAATCCACAAATTTAATGTAATCCCTATCAAAATACCAATAGCATTTTTCACAGAACTACAACAAATAATCCTATAATTTGTATGGAACCATAAAAGACCCTGAATAGCCAAAGCAATCTTGAAAAAGAAGAATAAAACTGGAGGTATCACAGGGCACCTGGGTGGCTCGGTCAGTTAGGTGTCTGCCTTTGGCTCAGGTCATGATCCCAGGGTCCTGGGATCAAGCCCTGCGACATTGGGCTCCCTGATCAGCAGGGCGTCTGCTTCTCCCTCTCCCTCTGCTCCCCTGCTCATGCTCTCTTTAGCCTCTCTGTCAAATAAATGAATAAAAAAAAAAACTGGAGATATCAAAATTCCAGACTTCAGGATACACTACAAACTGTAGTAACCAAAATAGTATGGTACTAGCACAAAAATGACATATAGATCAACAGAACAGAATAGAGAGCCCAGAAATAAACCCACGATTATTTGGTCAATTAATCTTTGACAAAGGAGGCAAGAATATGCAATGGGAAAGACTCTTCAACAAATGGTGTTGGGAAAACTGGACAGTTACATGCAAAAGAATTAAAATGGACCACTTTCTTACATCATACACAAAAATAAACTCAAAATGGATTAAAGACCTAAATAGGAGACCTGAAGCCATAAAAATCCTAGAATAGAGCACAGGGAGTAATTTCTCTGACACTGGCCACACCAACATTCTTCTAGATATATTTCCTAAGGCAAGGGAAACAAAAGCAAAAATAAACCATTAGTACTACATCAAAATAAAAAGCTTCAGCATAGCAAAGGAAACAATCAACAAAACAAAAAGACAACCTACAGAATGGGAGAAGATATTTGCAAATGACATAGCCAATAAAGGGTTACAATCCAAAATATATAAAGAACTTACACAACTCAACACCAAAAAAAACAAATAATCCAATTAAAAATGGGCAGAAGACATGAACAGACATTTCTCCAAAGACATCCAGATGGCCAGCAGACACATGAAAAGATGTTCAACGTCACTCATCATCAAGGAAATGCAAATCAAAACCACGATGAGATATCTCCTCAAACCTGTTAGAATGGCTAAAATCAACAACATAAGAAACAACTGATAGCAAGGATGTGGAGAAAAAAGGAACCCTCATGCACTGTTGGTGGGAATGCAAACTGGTGCAGCCATTGTGGAACACAGTATGGAGGTTTCCTCAAAAAGTTAAAAATAGAATTACCATATGATCCAGTAACTACATTAATGGGTATTTACCCAAAGAAAATGAAAACGCTAATTCAAAAAGATATATGCCCCCCCCCCGTTTACTGCAGCATTATTTACAATAGCCAAGATATGGAAGCAACCCAAGTATCCATCCATAGATGAATGAATGACAAAGATGTGGTACATATATACAATGGAATATCATTCAGCCACAAAAAAAATGAAATCTTGCCATTTGCAACAACAGGGATCGACCTATAGAATGCTAAGTGAAATAAGTAAGAGAAAGACATAATACCATATGATTTCAGTCATATGTGAAATTTAACGAACAAAACAAATAAAGAAAGAAAGAAGAAGACAAACCAAAAAAACAGACTTTTAAACATAGAGGACAAACTGGTGGTTACCAGAAGGGAGTTGGTAGGGGGATGGATGAAATAGGTGAAGGGGATTAACAGTACACATAATCGGGATGAGCACTGAATAATATACAGAACTGGTGAATCACTGTACTGTTCACCTGAAATTAATATAACACAGTCTGTTCATTATAGTGGAATTAAAAAAAAAAAAAAACCAGCCAATTGACCTACACAGCCTAATCCAAGAATTACTAGATACTTGGTGCTAAGCCACATGAATTTTATTCACAAATGAAAAAGAATGCAAAAAGATCAATTTGCTTAAATTTTCCTAAGCGACAACTCTATTCTAGGCCAGTAATAAGGACAACTCCAGGGTCTGCCACCTTTTTAGATTCAAAGCCAAGAGGAAACACCAATGGTCACTCCTGGAGCCACTGTCAGTAGTGGTCTGGAGTGGACCTTACATCCCATATCTATTTCACTCCCTGCCTACTGAAAAACAGCACTGCTGTTTGCTGACCTGTCCACTCAGGGATGGACCTGACTGATTAAGGGATAATCCCAAGTGACTGATTCAGGAATGGGCATGGGACCCAATCCTCGCCTATGAAAATCCAGAAGAGGTTGGCCGGAAGTTTCTGGTGGATGCCTGCAGTCAAATCCAGACCCTGCCAGGGCTCTGGTAACAGCTATCTGAATTTTACTTGCAAATGGAAAAATGCAAGTAATCTCTTCAGAGAGTTATGAGAGAACAAACTATCTCTTAATCTGATCATGAACAAGGATGCAAACACCTATTGCTATGACAGCATCCTAAAATCCAACCATGAAAGAGGACGCCATGCATAAAGCTAACACAAAGGAAGGAGGGCAGAAATAAGAGACTTACAGAGAAACAGAGCCTCAACTGTGCCCAACTTACCTCCTGACTCTATGGCAAACAAGTAATATTCCTTAATATTAAAGTCAGACAGAATCAGGTTTATTTTACTTGAAGCCAAAATCCCTAACAGACTGGTACTATTTTTATAATCAGAAAAATATATATATTTAAAATATCAATGAATAAGGGGGGAAAAAAACAGGCCATGCTCAATAAGAGCTTATCAGAGAAATACTAATGATCCCTTCCACAACTTTTGCTGGATATTGCTACATATACCTCCTTCTCATACTATGTGATATTTTTAATTAAAACGGAGTCTGTACTTTCAGGAAATGCTCAGATAATCTAATCACAAGAAAAGCATAGTCAGGATCAGAAGCACAGGACGGAAAGGGGATTAAGGGATGGCAGACTGCCAAGCTTCAGACCCTTTCCTGCTCCCCATCCCCCAACCTAAGCTTATCAATTTTCATCACAGTAATAAATTGAACAGTTTAAAAGTCATGGCAATATTCTCATCTTGGACAAGATGACCTCTTTAGACAGGGAAAATGTTTCACTGCACTCTACCAAAAGACCTATTGATCCTGGGTGGAACCTGGTCAACTAGTCAAGTTGAAGAGATATGGCTGAGTCTTAAAAGACCAAAGTGAATCCACAGGACAGAGTGGCAGGAGAGGTACAGACAGAGAGAACTCAGGGGATCTGCAGAGAGTCCCGCTCGAGTACTCAGCAGAGTACTGGAGGGCCCAAGTGCATGATGAAACTACGGAGGCTGAAGGAAAAACCTGACAGCATGAAAGACCACCGTAATCAGAGCTCCCAGACGGCCAGAATGCTTGGGGACACAGACATTCCATCTATAGCAAAAGCCAAGAAGCAGAGAAAAACCGTAATTAAGTTGGACCTGCAACCTGAGAAGTACCACAGGCCAACAAAAGTAAAAGGGCAGCATCATTTTATCTAGAATGACTCCATAAATTTTGGTGGCCTATGAGTGGCAGGGCAGGGGAGAGGGGCATACTACTAAGTTCCTTCCTAGTGCCAGGCACTTGAGAGGGTTCAGTAAAACACAGTCCCTGCCCTTGTGTGCATTCCGTAGTCTTCAGGACAGATGCATCAACTCCCTCCTCTGAGATACTCCTCCGGCTTTTGGCCAGCAGCCAGCTAAAAGGTCCCCTCCTTGAAAAAGCCTTCCTTTATCCCTCTAGCGACTACAGAGTAGCCTTCTTTCCTTTCCTTACCGTACTCTTCACAATTTCTAATTATCACTTATTATTACTGTATGATTATTGTTTTGTCCCATGCACATTTAGAATATGAGCTCCATCAGCAAAGAAATCATGTCTGTCATCACAGCACAGCATATAACCACTGAAGGTACTCAAACACTTCCTGAATTAATGAAAACAAGAGCCAAGACCAGGATAAGTTTTCTGATGATCAGCATTTCCTAGGCTATTGGTTCCCCTAGTTATGAAGGAGCATACGAAGTACTCACCTCTACCTGAGTCACATTGATGACCAGCACCACCACCATCAGCACTGCAAGCAGACAGCAGAAAAGCCGTAGTTTGAAGGAACTGATCCACATTGTCTGGCTGTGTCTTGATCACCCATGGCCGACGCCATGCTACCTTCACTCCTCAAAACTCCATGTCTTTGTTCTTCTGATCTGCAGACGAGCTTTTAGCTGAATTTGTTTCTTTTCTGCTAGTATCATTAAGAGTTCTTTGTATGGAGGAGAGGCTGGGGTTGATTTAAGAAGCATATTTTTCTTCAAAGGACTCCTTCAAAGAGGGAAGATGAGAATACAGATCACCAACTGCAACAGCCTAGTGTGTGGTAATCGGAAATATGCCACACTTCTTCCTTAACCCTCTCAAAGGCCCAAAGTCATGAGGGGAAAGCAAAGAGCCAGAGCACAGTAAGATCTGTTCCATATTCAATTTGCTCAAACCCAACCCCAGACTTCCATATAAATACAGCGATATTTGTCCTGCAAATTTTAGGTTTTAACTTTGAAGAATGTCTTCAAACCCTTAGAATTAGAAAATTAAAGTCACTGTTAAGTTTCTAGAGGTCTAAGTAAATAAAATCACTCCCCTTCCCTTATAGTTCAAGTTATATAACACTCCTGAAGTAATTATATTTGACGAGCATTGAGAGGAAACCTGGTGATTTTATGCGGAGTTCTGGAAGACTGTGCAAACCATCCTGACCTCCTCTAGGAAACAAGGAGTGCTGTCCCCCTGCACAGCAGAAGACATGAAACACCCTTTGGATATCCAGCTCCCCCACCATATATGTAGAATTGATGATGCTCCCTCAGCTGAGTAACAGGGCCCAGGAGGGAAGACACTTGCCCTGAAGATATAGGAAAGAAAAGCTAAGCCTGAGGATTAAAAGGAGACCCAAATCCTTCATCATAACTGCTAGAGGCAGAGGACTTCAGAGCCTGCCGCTCCTACCTGTTCCCGCATAGAATGAACTCAAAATGCTCTCCCCAGTTGTTATTTTAGTTTAGGTAAACAGAAAAAAATACTAGGATTTTGTTTCTACCTAGACTCTCCATGGAGGGCAGGGTGGAGAAGTCAAGGTGAAAGGGTGCACAACTATGGCGCAGAGGATCTCTGAATACCTCAGCTGCACCAGAGTTCCCTGCAGCTTTGTACTGGACCTGGCAAGCTGTTCTCCTCCCTCACTCTTCCACTCCGCCTGTGTAATCCATTCCCATGCCCAGGGACCACAACAACTCCTCCTCACCTCTGCTTCATAAAGGAGACAGAGCTAAGCTATTCTAACTTGCTCTCCATCCTCAGAATTCCCACAGCACTTTCTTCTCACTTCACTTCTCAGCGTTTTCACTCCTCTGTATTTGTATGTATTTCCTGTGCCCCCAAGTAGACTTATACCAATTATGATTTTTAAAAAAACAAAAACAAAAAACAAAAACCAGGGGCGTCTGGGTGGCTCAATAGGTTAAGCGTCCAACTGAAGGTACTCAAACACTTCCTTGGTTTTGGCTCAGGTGGTGATCTCAGGATAGTGAGATCGAGCCCCAGGGTAGGGCTCCGTGCTCAGCATGGAGTCAGCTTGTCCCTCTCCCTCTCCCTCTGCCCCTTCCCCCACTTGTGAGCTCTCTCTCTCGAATAAATAAAATCTTAAAAAACAAAACAGGGGGCTCCTGGGTGGCTCAGTCGGTTAAGCGTCTGCCTTCGGCTCAGGTCATGATCCCGGGGTCCTGGGATGGAGCCCCACATTGGGCTTCCTGCTCAGCAGGGAGCCTGCTTCTCCCTCTCCCTCTGCTGCTCCCCCTACCTGTGCTCTCCTTCTCTGTCAAATAAATAAAATCTTAAAAATAAAACAAAACACAGAAACCATGTATCAGAGAAAAAGCAACTTAGTAATAACAATGTATCATACTCCTTTGATTCCCTCACAGCACCTCCCCCTTACATGATATATGTTGATTCGACAATGCACAAAACAAAAAATTATGGAGGCCTACTCTGTACCACACGCTGTACTCAGTGCCAGAAATTCCCATGGAAAAGCTTACACTCCTCTCCTCAATTAAATAGGAATATTTATTCCTCTACAGGCTGTCACCTCTACAGGGATACCAAGCACTGTGGAAGACTGCACTTAAGCCTTTGATGACCCCTCAACCCCGCCCCTCTCTAACACCCAAGCATCCACTCACCCCAAAGTGCCTGTAAATTCTGGGAAGGAATGGCTACGAACTAGAAGAAATAACTGTCATCAGGGCCCAACGGCTCCTCCGTAGAAACCCTCTCAAGGAGGTGGCCATAAGAATCATAGGCTTCCAGGGGCACCTGGGTGGCTCAGTCGTTAAGCGTCTGCCTTCGGCTCAGGTCAGGATCCCAGGGTCCTGGAATCGAGCCCCGCATCGGGCTCCCTGCTCCACAGGAAGCCTGCTTCTCCCTCTGCCTGCCATTCCCCCCTGCTTGTGTTCCCTCTCTGGCTGTGTTTCTCTCTGATAAATAAATAAAATCTTAAAAAAAAAAAAAAAAAAATAGGCTTCCCTCACGCCCAGAGAGGGAGAAGACCAAAGATGATACTCCACCAAGATTCAGCAGCACAACAGTAAGCACTGTGCGTACTGCGGAAACACCAGCAGCTTCAGGAAGGTCAGTGTTATTCAGAGCCAGGTGGTAGCAGTGCAGCGGAGGTCAGGGGTGCAGCAGCACGGCAAGGGCAGCAGACTCCAGAACTAGAGGGATGCAGGCAGCAATGCAAACATGCAAGAAGCCCCTCGTGGCCAAGGACTTGTACTGAAAATCATTACTGGAGGGGCATGCCAAGAAAAGACCCAACTTCCTGCTAGGAGCAAGCAAAGCACTGAGCCTTGAGAGACCCATTTGTGTATCTAAGTGGATGTGGCCTGAGGCGCACTTAGACCTCTCTTTGAAAAGACATATATTAAAATGTTGATAGTTGCTACCTCTGCGCAGCTTTTTTTCTCCTTCATCTTTATCTTTGTGTCCTAGTTTTTCACCAGGAAATAAAAATTACAAATATAAAGAAAAAAGCAGGTTTCTAAAAGTAATAATTAAAGACGAGCCATAAGGAGAAACAGAGCATTAAACCAAATATAGGAAAACAATTCAATTTAAAATGAAAAATTTCAAAGGGAAAGAAGGAATCTCTAATCATTCTCTACTGTTTTCCTACAAATATAAAACCTAGGCATTATAAGAAGAAAGTTATTTGCAAAGACAGCAAGACAGTATCATTCGGTATCTCAAAGTGCCTTAGAATTGAGTAAAAACAAAAGTGCTAGGTGGGAATGACTCTAAGGAAAAGTTTCCTAGATCAATGGAAAATAAAAATACATTACTGAATGTTATTTACCTTTTTTTTAAATTTCCAGTTCCCAAGAAGAGGCGCTTATTAGAACTAAGGGATTGAGCTTACATCTAACTTTCCTTCCAGTGTAAAGTCCTGAATTCAAGCAATCATGACAACACTTATTCTTTTCTTGCCACATTCAAAGCACGGGTTGATGTTTTCTCATTTTTATACCATTCTTCCTGCTGCAACAGGGATACGCATATGACATACAGGTTAAAGATACTGAAATTAAGGAAAACATATTTGAAATAAAGAGTACAATTTTATACCGAGATGCACATAGATTTCAGTATAACATAGGAAGAGAAACATTTCCTTTACTACTAATAAAAAACAGTAACTGGCTATTTATATATATTAACTTAAACACGACAAGTCACTCCCGGATCTGAGCTGAAGGTCAAAACTTTATAATTAGCAATATAACTGAAAAATCACAAATCAAAGATAAAAGCTCCGTATGTTACTTTTCTTAAATACTAGAATAATCATGTACTTCAACAACCCATCCCACCACTATAGAAAACAAGAGGTATTTAGATCCAAAAGTTATGATTACTTCAGGAGGAATTTAAACTTGAGTGATCTTGTTTTCAAATCCTTCTAATGTGTCAGTCCACCACTTAGTCATGCTTCATATTTATGTTCAAAGGACAAGCCAAAAGTAAAATGCACGGTCTGTTGGGTCTCTTTGGCCAAAGCTGATTAAGACTACCTACCAGCCAATCTAACTTCTTTATGACCTGTCGCAACAACCCTAGACTGCCATTATGTACCTGACCTCCTACCCCATCTCATAAGAGAATTACAGAGTGACTGCTTCATCACTGGGAATTAAAATTGTCAGTAACATCAATGAGATCGTTGAGTTCAGTACTAAAAAGAAAATTAGGCAGCAAACCCCTCCTCTAGGGAACTAAAGTTCTTAGACAACCATTTCACAAAGACAATGTATTACACGATAACCACACAGCCAGTTTCTGGGACAGTCCCCATTCTAAAAACCCTGAACTGCTATCCACATAAATATAATTGTACTTGCCAGACCAAATGTCTAGAATTTTAATTCAGAATACATGGACCCCCTACATAGAAGACAGATCACAGATTTACATGGAATATAACCAAACTTAAATATTTATATATCAGGGGCACCTGGGTGATTCAGCCAGTTAAGCATCCAACTCTTGATTTCAGCTCAGGATTGTGAGATCAAGCCCCATGTCAGGCTCCACATGGAGCCTGCTTAAGACTCTCCCTCTCTCTCTCTTTCTCTCTCTCCCTCTGCCTCTCCCCCTCTAAAAAGTTATATATCAAACTTTCCAAATTGCAGCTGTATAACTCATAAACACAGAGAACAAACTGATGGTTGCCAGAGGGGAGGGGAGTGGGGGGGTGGGCGAAATAGATGAGGAGGATTAAGAGGTACAGATTTCCAGTTACCAAATAAGTTATGCGGATGCAAATACAGCACAGGGAACATAGTGAATAATACTGTAATAACTTGTATGGTGACAGACAGTAACTACACTGATTGTGGTGATCATTTCATAATGTATATAAATGTCAAACCACTATGGTAAACACCTGAAACTAATATAATATTGCATATCAACCATACTTCAATAAATAAATAACAAACAGCAGCTCTATTTCACAGGGTGCTGGATAAGACCCTGAAACTTAACAGGCCAGGATCTAGAGAAAGAACTGGAGACATATCCACAAACATGACAATGATGGGTCACCAAATAAGGTCAACCCTTGGACAAAGAGGAAGCACAGCAGTAGTCTGCAGGACTTGTTTCCCCTGATTCCATTTCTCTTTCATTTATCCCCACCTCACACACCCAAAGTGCTGACTCACCACCCAGGCCTTCCCTTGCCCCTTCTTCCAAAGCAGCACCCCATGCT